CAGAAGAGCTTGCTTTACTGCTTCACTATTACCTTTGTTTTGTTTTATAGCATGAAAAACAATGAGAAAAGTATTCTATTAAGTTTCGTGAAAGTTTCATCCCATATAAAGCGCTAGTAAATGATTTTACTGTATGATTATAATCCGACAATTTTTCTATTTCATACGAAGCCGATCTACGCACAGTAGCTGGAGTACTGGAATCATCATCAGAAATTAACGTTTTTATTTTAACATTTTTCTCTTCGAGCAAAGTATTATGAACTATCAATTCAACAGCCATATCAGGTTCCATAGCTTTCGCTGTTCCTGTAAAATTTTTTCTGCAGTCATGATCGCTTTTCTCGTTACCTAATTTACACATCCTACAATCCTCACTCCTAACAGCATATGACAGTACTTTTCCAGAGTAGTGTCCTATAAGAGTACCATAGCCCGATAAACTGTTATACGCACCTGACCAGTTCCTCGCTTCTGCCATCCACAATCATAGCCAGCTTTTATGTCAGTTATATCGGTTGATGTCTTTAATTATTAACATTATTAATTTTTGATTTGTTGTCACGATGAGTTTAAATTGTTTTTGAAAAGTTTTGAAATAAGCTGCAAGTAAAACTCTAACTGGATGATACTTGCCTCGTTTACATTTTGTGTCGCAGAAACTATTGGTATACATTCAATTCGCTATTTTCTGTATCACTGTTTGATCTCGAAATAGTACTCTCACTCTTCTCATTTCGCTCATGTTTATTATGCATTTGCATACTTACATCCGTAGCCGTCATTCTAAACAAGTATAATATCTTTTATACAAATAAGTCTACAGAAATATGGTAAAAAAATAGTGGAAAGAGCTTTGGATTGGATTTTTAATTAAATCATGAATTATATTTATTTATTACAAGAATATATAATGTGTCATATAATCTATTCTTACTAGTATTAAATTATTAGTAACTTAATAGTCACTCATACTTCACATAATGTCGTATAATTGTTAACGCACTTCAAACAATTATAATTTATATAATTATTAAAAAGTACCAGATTATACGTTCGCACATACTGATAATAGACTTATAGATTCTTATGTATAATCATTACGATTATTCTTTGTATACATTAAAATAATACGAAAAGTAACATTATTTCATAACTCTACATATATAATTTAACAAGAAAAAAAATCAAGATATTTTATGTACAATTAAATTGATTAATTATTTCAGGTCAACCGATGACCATGTAAAAAAGTTCATTTATACAAAATTACATTTATAATTATATTTACAATTAACAGTATTTGAATTTATATTCTATGATTCTCACAAAATATCATGATTTCTTTGTATGTTGAGTACATTTGCCAAAATATCTTTATAATTACATGGTATTTAATAAATATATGTTAAGTATAAAAAGTGATACACATTACTCACTTCTCATTTTCTACGGTTAATTTCTTTTCCAATTCAATACTTTCCGAGCACGATTCTTTAGCCACAGTTTCAATAACTTTACCAACGTATCTTTTGTACCTTTTCAGAAGAGTTGGCGTTAAAGTCCCTACATCAAATGCCGTTGTTATTGCATTCATGTGGGTTTCTCCGATCCCGCCATCTAGAATTGCTGTAATATTTATGAAACAATAATTAAATATATGGTGAAATCAATGCCTAACCTTTATATTCACAGTTTAATCACAAACATACCGAAGGCAGCTCTCGTATTCATTTTG